AAGGTCAGGGAGCTGGGTGCAGGCAGGTGTCGAGGTGCAGACACGGGCTGAGGGGGGTGGGGTGCAGCCCCCCACCGTCACTCACTCGGGCCTCGCTCCCCGCAGCGGCCTTCACCATGATCGGGACCTCCACGCACCTGTCGGACCAGTGCTCGCAGTTCGCCATTCCGTCCTTCTGCCACTTCGTGTTCCCGCTGTGCGACGCCCGCTCCAGGGCACCCAAGCCGCGGGAGCTGTGCCGCGACGAGTGCGAGGTGCTGGAGAGCGACCTGTGCCGCCAGGAGTACACGATCGCGCGCTCCAACCCGCTCATCCTCATGCGCCTGCAGCTGCCCAAGTGCGAGGCGCTGCCGCTGCCCGAGAGCCCGGACGCAGCCAACTGCATGCGCATCGGCATCCCGGCGGAGAGGCTGGGCCGCTGTGAGTGCCGCCCGGGGCAGAAGGGGCGCTGTGTGGGCTTGAGACGGGGTTCTGAGCTGGCCTGTTGTCAGGGGACCCCGTCCGCCTGGCTTCTGCAGGGCACAGCGGCCAGAGCCTCGCCGTCCAGTCCCCCATCCCACGGGGCAGCCACCTGGTGGTAAAGAGCTAGGGATGTGAAGTCATGCAGACCCAGATCCACAGCCTGCTTGGATGCTGTCCATCTTGGGGGACTGGAGTGAAGTCCCTCTACTCCCTGGAGCTTGGGATTTCCTGTCTCCAGATGCGGAGTGACCCAGGTTTCTGCCACGGAAACCTGCAGGGAGGCTGAGGAGAGGCCCAGCCTCCCGGCTTCTGTGACGGTCCACAGCATCTTGGGGAAACCGTGGGCTCCCAGCCCTCTCTCCAGACCTCTGAAGCCGGTGCCCGGAAACTGAAGGTTTCTCAGCCTCACACAAGTTGGAGGCATGGAGACCACGCACGGATGGTCTCCCCACCTTCCCAGCCTCCTTTCCCTGCAGCACAGGGCCTCAGCGGCGGAGTGGGGCACTTAATTCTTCTGAACCTGAGGCTGGGTGTGGGTGGCCCTCGGGGGTCTGTGGAGGACAAAGCCATGCTCCCACCTCCCCTTCCGGCAGCAGAGCAGCCTGTGGTCTCTGGGTGTTCAGTAGGCCCTGGCAGGTGGCAAGGCCAGTCAGGGAAGAAGGCACGGGGCAGGGAGTTCTGCCCACATCTCCAAGAACGTCAGGATGGTTGTCCCCATGAGAGGTGAGACCCCCTTTGCTCTCGGGCCCCAGGGAGGTTTTCGCTTCTGAGGAGTCTGGGGCTTCCAGAAGTGCACAGGGTGCCTTGCCAAGGTCAGGGTCCAGCATGTCCCTCATAACTCCTGGCCACGGGGCTTCCAGTGTGACCTGAGGGACTTGCTTAAACTCCGGTTTCCTCATATTCCATGGGGACAATAGCACTGACCTTGTGCAGCCGGAATGAAGATTAGGTGAGTTAATAATTAAATCCTAGAAGAGGGCATGAGATAAACACTGGGTGAATGTTCAACAAACGCACATCCTTAGCTCTGGCTCCTCCATAGACGCTGTTCTCACCGTGGCTGAGCCTGGCCTCTCCCTGGGTGGTGGAGGAGGTCTCCAGGTTGCAGGGCCAGGCCTAGGATTGTCCTCGCTGCTTGCATAGTTGTTTTTTTTTTTTTTTTTTTTGTACCAGGGATTGAACCTGGGAGCACTCAAGCACTACTTTGTATTTTATTTAGAGTCAGGGTCTCGTTAAGTTGTTTAGCACCTCACCGTGGCTGAGGCTGGCTTTGAACTTGCGATCCTCCTGCCTCAGCCTCCGGAGCCGCTGGGATTTGTACAGTTCAATTCTGCTTTTAGTATGAGTGAGAATGAGGTCGGTGTTGACATTTCCCAAGGTGGTTTCAGGGCCATGGAGTAACTTCTGACAGCTTTCCTTCACGTATGTCCCTAAGGGGCCCTCAATTTCATTTATGGGCTTAAGACTTTACTGAGTCCTTATTTTTAATGCTGCTTTTCTTGGACGATATGTAAAATCCTTTGGTCTTTTGGAAATTCCCATTTGGGCTCGTGCCGGCCAAGTAGGTTTGTTCCTTCCTGAAATAAATAGTTGAAGGAGGTGAACTCTGTGCCCCCAGGGTGGGCCAGTTCCCCGGGTGTTCGCGCCTCCTAACGCCTCTGCCTCTCTCAGATCATCAGTGCTACAATGGCTCGGGCTCAGACTACAGAGGGACGGCCAGCACCACCAAGTCGGGGCACCAGTGCCAGCCCTGGGCCCTGCAGCACCCCCACAGCCACCACCTGTCCAGCACAGACTTCCCCGAGCTCGGAGGGGGGCACGCCTACTGCCGCAACCCCGGAGGCCAGATGGAAGGCCCCTGGTGCTTTACGCAGAATAAAAACGTACGCATGGAACTGTGTGACGTACCCTCGTGTAGTATGTATTCTCTCTCTTTTTTTAAAATGTTGACTGTTGAGTTCACCTGTGATGAGAATGTTCTGTCTTGCCTCGGGACAGAGGGGACCACAGAGCCCCATCTTAACCATTGTGATTGTTATCTGATGCTGGTTGTGACATAAAATCAGATCCTTACGGGTGTCTTAAAATGGGAGAAGTCTGGAGAATGTTGTGCAGTAGCCCATAAGTTCAGCTCACAGTGGCAGCTACTGTTTGCATGCTGGACCCTTCCTCCATCCCTTTACCTGGATCCAGTCCTGGAATTCAGCTGGCATCTCTGTCCCTCCACGGACATTATCACACAATATAAAGAAAGATGCTCCCCCCGGCCCCCAGACCCCCACTCCCATCTTTGGGGCTTTTTCCCTGCTTCTGAGCTTTCACACACAGAACTGGTAGAATAAGGAGAAAATAGAATCCGTGGTCTCTTAACATTCCCTCTGAGCATCTCTGCTACATAAAAAATAGGAAAAGATTGTGCAGTCAGTGATGGAACTTCAGCAGTTATTGTCTACGGTTTGGTAGTTGAGTGACTGAACTCAGCCGGGATCCGGAGTTGGTGGGTTGGTGGGAGACTGTGGGGTCATGCAGATGGGTCAATCTGTGGAGCAGCTAAGGCTCCCCTGTGCCTGGACACCCCCTCCTGTGAAGCCCAGGTACTCCCGCCCTACTGAGCAGCGAGTACCTGTTTTGAGTACGGTTTTGAAGCTGTGATTCGGTGGCTCCAGATTTATCATGGCTTTTGCTGAGCAGCTCAGGCGCCTCTTCAGGAATGTGTGTTCATAGTAGGAATAAACTGTTAGAATGAAAATACCAGGAGCTCAACCCTGATACAGTCCTTTAAATCTACTTCCTGCAAGGAAGGACGTTATTAGTGCCCATTAAGAAAAAGAGGCGCATTGTTTGATCTGGCAATTACTGGAATCTTATGTTGCAGAGGTAGCTGCATTTACAGGGCAGAGATGCAAGGACATTTCTTGCAGAAACACTCCCGAGAGCTAAATGCAAAAGAGACTAATTTATCAGTAGGAGGTTGCATGGGCTAGTGGAAGTGCATCCATATTGGGGAGTAGTACACAGCTCTAAAAGAACCCACGGACCTGTCCAAAATATTTGATTCTGTTCCAAAACCAGGAGCAGGAAAATACAGGTGACACAATTCAATTTAAAATGAAGTCTGGTCTCATGTAAAACACCGTATGAAACCACTGTTCCTGGATATCAGAATAGTTAAATGTCAGTGGTTTCACGTGGTTGAAATTAAAATACACATAGTAAATGGAGTATTAACCTATTAACAGTATGATAGCGTTTAATAGCATGTGAACCGGGCTACTAGGAATGTCTACTTCTTCATGCCACATTTCTGCAGTCGACTTTTTCCCCAATAAGCATGTGTTGTATTGGTAATTTTTAAAAGATCATCACAAGGCAGATGATGGTGTAATTGCAACGGCAGAGTTCTTGCTCCTGATTTTGGCATGAGGGACAGCTTGCACTCCTCATCCTAATAATGGAAAACAAACTGGAATCTCATGTCCGTGGGCCCTGAGGCTTCGGGAGCATCTGCCTCCTGGACACTTTGGGGGTGGGGGAAATTTCTGGGTGGGGACAGAAGAGAGTTTTGACTTTCACTTTATTTGATTTTTTTGTCTTATTTGGAGGGCACAGATGAGACTAGGTTTGGGACATGGTGACTTTTCCTAAGAGAGCACTAGACTACTCATTTGAGACCCGATCAATTTTTTCATAGATCATGTTGACCAGAAAGTTTTTGTTTTCTTCCAACGGGGAGCTCATTGCCCCTGGTCATAGAGCTGTTCAAGTGTGGGACAGTCATTTACCAAGCCAAGGGGTCAACACGGGACCCCGTAGTTCCCTGGGGATACAGGGAAGTACCTCGAGAGCCCACCATTCGTCACATACAGGGAAGGGCTCAGCCTTCTTCAGCCAGGCCACAGGCTCTTAAATGCAGTAGCCCTGAAGGGCCAGAGGAGGTGCTGGGCTGGAGGGCTGGGCCAGCAGCCCCAGGACAGCCAGCCCCCAGGACCCTGCTTCCAGTGGCCTTGCAGCCTGGCTCCTGTGTGCCCCGCTGCCACTTCCCACAAACCCTGTAGGGGGAGACAAAGCGCTGCTTTTCACGGGGAAAGAACAGCAGAAGTCTGTCCTTGAAGGCTTCCTACTGTTGGTGCCTCCTGGTTTTCAAGAATTCCTTTACCCTTTTTGCATATTGTATTGGGCAAATTCCTGGATTTCCCTTGGTCTTTTAAGTCAAATGCATTTGAAGTAGTATCCTAAAAGGCAATGTTAACATGATTCAAAAATGTTTAAAAAATCAAAATACTGAAGGAGGAAAAGGTCGTTTCTAATCCCACGTTTGAGCCAAGTTTGACCCACCACGGTCAAGGACATCGGATGCCTTTCCTAAGTCTCACCCAAATCAGGAGGGGAGGGGACCTTGGTGACAAATGTGATACTGCTCAATACCTGTTCCCACGGTGTCCAAAGCATCAGGAAAGAAAAGTGCTTGTTTCCCTGTTGGGTGGTCTGTGGTGGTTTCCACAGTAGGATGAGCAATATATTTTTTAAGGTTTGGTGTACAGTTTTGCTCCTTTGTGTAATTTGTTGGATTGTCCACTTGCGCTGACGTGTTTTGCCTGGGCAGAGAGTCACCACAGCCTCTTTCCCACTCGCAGGTCCCCGACACAGCAGCAAGATGGGCATTCTGTACATCTTGGTGCCCAGCATCGCCATCCCCTTGGTCATCGCCTGCCTCTTCTTCCTGGTCTGCATGTGCCGCAATAAACAGAAAGCGTCCGCGTCCACCCCTCAGCGGCGGCAGCTGATGGCCTCGCCCAGCCAGGACGTGGAGATGCCGCTCATCAACCAGCACAAACAGGTCTCTGCTCTGTCTTCTAACAAGGCAGCTTCCTGAGGCTGTGTCCTCCGGGTTGGGTCACCTGGGAGACCCGGTGTCTTCGTTTCCTCCGTACACAGCACATGATTTTATCTTGCTATTTTTTTCCTCTAAAATACATCGGGGTGTGTGTGTGTGTGTGTGTGTGTGTGTGTGTGTGGCTTTAGAATGGCAGGCATATTTGGAATTCACTAAGTATGAAGTGCACAGCTTCTCCCCCACAGCTAGACCAGGGCCCCTGGTGGTCTTCGCTGCTCAGGTGCCTCAGCTCTGTCCACAGGGCGACCTAAGAAAAAGGAAAAACACAACAGCTCCGCAGTTTGAGGCTGCCGGTGGCATTTTTAAGGGCTGGGACCCAGTTTCCATCCAGATTGGTCTTGCTGCCTTTGGTTCTGGGGCAGCAGAGAACACCAGTCCTTTCATGTGGGCAGGAGGGGCCAGCCACCTCTGAGAGACGTCCCCGCCCTGACTGTCGCTAAATGAAAGGGAGGCAGGTAGGGGTTCTGAAACGCAGCAGGTGCCCGGCAGGTGCCCGCCTTCCTGCGGGTGCTCACCTCCGTCTCAAGCTCTGGGGGCGCTGTTCCCCGACCGGGAAGGGCCCTTCGAGGTGCTCAGGAGAGTCGGCCCATCCACCTCTTCACCAGGGAGGTGCTGAGGGTCGGCCGTGGGCGGAGGAGGAGCGTGCTGTGGTGTGGCCACACACAGGAGGGATGTGGAGGCCGCCCACCGGGAGAGTCCAGGGCGGCTGTGGGAGAGCTGGCGCTCAGGCGCGGTCGCGGGACATGCGTCTGAGTGTGAGTGCGTGCAGACACACATGGGTGCACACACACGTGGGGGCGGAGGGAGGTCTGCAGTAGCACCTTGGTCACATTTTGGAGGAACCTGATATGCAGACGGGTTGGGACGGCGGGAGGACTGCATCAGAGCACGTTGTGGGTGGCCATGTGCAGGACGGTTAGCACCAGGGGGTCTTCTGCAAGGTGACGGTGGCACAGGGATGCTTCTGACCCCTCCCGCTCTCCCTGCTCCTCCTCTGCCCTTGGCCACGGCCAAAAAAAGTTTGATTTGGGGCTTTTCTTTTTGACAGGCCAAACTCAAGGAGATCAGCTTGTCCTCGGTGAGGTTCATGGAGGAGCTGGGGGAGGACCGGTTTGGCAAGGTCTACAAAGGCCATCTGTTTGGGCCCTCCCAGGGGGAGCAGACCCAGGTGGTGGCCATCAAGACGCTGAAGGACAAAGCGGAGGGCACGCTCCGGGAGGAGTTCAGGCACGAGGCCCTGCTGCGGGCTCGGCTGCAGCACCCCAACATCGTCTGCCTGCTGGGCATGGTGACCAAGGACCAGCCCCTCAGCATGGTCTTCAGCTACTGCTCGCACGGCGACCTCCACGAGTTCCTGGTCATGCGCTCGCCCCACTCAGACGTGGGCAGCACCGACGACGACCGCACGGTGCAGTCGGCCCTGGAGCCCCCCGACTTCGTGCACATGGTGGCGCAGGTCGCCGCCGGGATGGAGTACCTGTCCGGCCACCACGTGGTGCACAAAGACCTGGCCACCCGCAACGTGCTGGTGTACGACAAGCTGAGCGTGAAGATCTCGGACTTGGGCCTCTTCCGCGAGGTGTACTCTGCCGACTACTACAAGCTGATGGGGAGCTCGCCGCTGCCCATCCGTTGGATGTCCCCCGAGGCCATCATGTACGGCAAGTTCTCCATCGACTCGGACATCTGGTCCTACGGCGTGGTCCTGTGGGAGGTCTTCAGCTACGGCCTGCAGCCCTACTGTGGGTACTCCAACCAGGACGTGGTGGAGATGATCCGCAACCGGCAGGTGCTGCCCTGCCCGGACGACTGCCCTGCCTGGGTCTATGCCCTCATGATCGAGTGCTGGAACGAGTTCCCCAGCAGGCGGCCGCGCTTCAAGGACATCCACAGCCGGCTGCGGGCCTGGGGCAACCTGTCCACCTACAACAGCTCGGCGCAGACCTCGGGAGCCAGCAACACCACGCAGACCAGCTCCCTGAGCACCAGCCCCGTGAGCAACGTGAGCAACGCCCGCTACCTGGGCCCCAAGCAGAAGGCCCAGCCCTTCCCGCAGCCCCAGTTCATCCCCATGAAGGGCCAGATCCGACCCATGGTGCCCCCGCCCCAGCTCTACATCCCCGTCAACGGCTACCAGCCAGTGCCCGCCTATGGGGCGTACCTGCCCAGCTTCTACCCGGTCCAGATCCCCATGCAAATGGCTCCACAGCAGGTGCCCCCTCAGATGGTCCCCAAACCCAGCTCACACCACAGTGGCAGCGGCTCCACCAGCACGGGCTACGTCACTACGGCCCCCTCCAACACCTCCGTGGCAGACAGGGCCGCTCTGCTCTCGGAGGGCACGGAGGAGGCGCAGAACATCCCGGAAGACGTGGTCCAGAGCCCCGTGCAGGAAGCAGAGGAGGAAGAGGATGGCTCTGTCCCAGAGACGGAGCTCCTCGGGGACAATGACACTCTGCAGGTGGACGAAGCACAAGTCCAGCTGGAAGCCTGAGGGGCACACAGGGCCCAGGCACCAGGAGATGAGACCCCACTGGGACCCCACAGGGACTTGGACCCCCTTTGAGAGGTCACCGACCACAGTGATCACCAGAGCCCAGGCACGGGAGGGCTGGTTTGCAGACTCAGTGACCGAAAATCCTGCACCTGTCTTGTTCGTTCTCTGCGCTCAGAGCTGCCCCTGGGTCCTCCTGTTTGTCTGGAGGCCACACCTGTGCCTGAGCTGGGCAGGGGCCCCAGCAGTGTGACCTCTTCAGGAGCAGGACACAGTGAGCCCTGTCCTGCCTGCATTCGTCCTGGTGCTGCATCACTAGTGAGCTGCGTACTCCCTGCAGAATCACAGGCAACATCCTCACTCCGTATGGTATACGGATCACGTCTTAGAAGTGTGGGGAGGACAGGTCTGTGAAGGGGTGGCAGGTGGTACCTCGGGCTCTGAGAGTCTCATCCGCCAGCCTGCTGGTTCAAGGATGGAGGGAGCGCCTTTCTCCCTGCTGCCTCCCAGCCAAAGATGAGCAGGACAGCATACTGCCACCTCCCAGGGTCCCAAGAAACAGGGGCTGCTGAAACGGGAGCTCCCGATATTCAAGCAAAATGTGCCTTTATAGAAACCCACACAATCCTGTATTTTTGTGAAATGGCTTTAATTATATTGCATGTGTGTTTTGCCCACTCTGCTGGAATTCAAGGGAAAATATTTCTTGGGTTTAGAATGTTCAAAAGGAAGCAATATTGTACAGAACGCAGTATTGTTAATTTTTTTTTGTTTTTAAGAATCATGTACAGACCTTAAATGTAATTTATATGGTTTTTTTTTTTTTTTTTTGGTATGCCGTTTTCATGGAAGTATTTTGAGCTTGAATCATGACTTAGTAATTTAACTGTTTACATGATCCACTTTGGGACGCTGGTTGTACCGTGTGGAAGCGAGGTCCATTCATTTCAGAACCGCGAGACCCAGAGGCCAGCAGGCACGCTGTCTCTCCCCGGCACTCATCCTTGCTCTGTCTGTAAATCCCACACCGTGGTGTATCCAATAAAGTGAAACGGAACCTTCGGCTGCGCTCTTCCAGGCTGGAAGGAGAGGGCTGTGTAAGGTGCCTGCAGAAGGAAGGAGACGCGGGGTGATTCTCTGGGCCCTTTCTGTGGATTGGGGAGGTTCACCTAGGACCAGCGACTCCAAGCTGAAGCCCGTGTAGTCGTAGCATGGAGAACCGATGGAAATCAATTCCATTTCTTTTTAAGTTGATTTTCAGTCACCCTGTGTTCATTGTGCACGTTGGTGAGGTTCAGTGTGATATTTGAACACACGCCTACAGCACGCGCTCACCCTCCCCTCTTCCCAGCCTCCAGTAACTCCCGTTTACCTTCAGTTGGTTTTCCCCTGCCGCTTCTGTTGAGAGCTCAAGTGTGAATCGGTAGCAGGTGATGTGAAGATGGTGGTGGTCTCTGGTTTTGAACTGCCCCTGACATTTTTAGACCTGGAATCTGACATTTTCTGGGGGCCCCACACAGGGCTGGGATATGGGAAGGACCGGGGGAAAGGGGTGAGCCTGGGGCTCTCCGCCCCCTCTTCCATCTGTAGTGCAGCTGGGTGCAGTGAGTAGATCCCTCGTGCCAGGGTGTCCAGCATCTTGACTCATTTTGACCTTAAGGTTTCTGCTACTGTAATAAGACCTTCCTCCCCCAGAGCAAGGCGTCTGCCTGAGGCCTCTGCAAGAAAACCCAGATCAGCAAGGGAAGAGCAGACCGGAGTTTTATGTGACCCAGAGCCTTCAGAAAAGAAGACCCAGAACGTTCGGGAGAGATGGGGGTTTTATGCTAAATTACTGGAGTGCACATCGGCAGGGGTGTCCTGCTGGGTCAGGATGGTCCCTGGGTCTGGCCCAATGGTAATGAGCTAGGGGGACTCCGCGAGGCCTATCTGTTAGATTCTTCTCTGTGCCTTCCGCCCAGGGATGTGGGGTGGGCATCTCTGCTCTGGAATGAGGATCCCAGGACCTGCTTCAGAGGAAGCCCATGGAATTCCGCGACTTGCTTCAGGGGAGAAGGGCAGGATGAGGTGGGAAGGCCCTCCGCTTCTGCAGTTTCCTCGAATGTCACAGAGCCACGTCGGGGGTACCCTGTCCTGACCTTGCTCTGCTGGTCCAGCACGATACAGGTCACAGATTCACCCCCACACAAATGAATTCCGTGTCTTCTTGTCCGTCCTAAGATCAGGATGGAAGGAATAAATCCGACTGGGCTAGGAATCAGAACCACGGCCCTCAGAGGCCCTCCCTTGGCCCTGCATAGGGAAGGGGCGTGGGGCTAAACGGAGGGACTTCTCATTTCCTCGTTCTATTTCTGACTGGATTCACCTGGAGGGTTGACTGTTCAGTGCAGACCTGAGGTTGAAAAATGGGAATTGGCCCTTCCCTTGCTTTTCCACAAGCAAAGCCAGAAAACAAGGCTCCGTGCCACTTTGGCCAGCCTTGACTGTCCCCAAACATTAACCGGGTGCTCCCGGCTTCCGACAGCACGGTAGAGCGACGGCAGTGGGAACTGGGCAGGTTTTTTTCCCGGGGAGTGGGGGATGCCAATAGAGCATCTCCTCCTGCTCACTCCAAATGTAACAGTGCGCGACATCTTTAGATGTGATTGGACAACGGTGGCTTAGTGGGGACACGCCAGAGCCATCGACTATAGAGTTGAGCTGCATGATTCAAGTAAATGTAACAGGTTTGTCCCCACAAAAGAGGGAAGTTTTCACAGCTGTTGAGTTACTTGCTTGTCATTGAGGGGTTTTTTGGGGGCGGGTAGGTATCAGGGCTTGAACTCAGGGGCACTCAACCACTGAGCAGTATCCCCAACTCTGTTTTATATTTTATTTAGAGACCAGGTCTCACTGGATGGCTTCATGCCTCTCCGTTGCTGAGACTGGCTTAAACTCTCAAGCCTCCTGCCTCAGCCTCCTGAGATCACAGCTTGCACCTAACGTCCGGCTTGTAATTGAGTTTTAAATCGAGGCATCGGACACCACGTATACCCTGGGCGCCCACGAGATCTTTTGATAAGCAGCAATTATTGAGACAGCCTGTCGTCACACTGCACAGAATTCAATGTACTGACTTAGGGTGCGTGACTACCCGCCGACTCAGGAAGATGCTCTGCTGTGATCTCATGGTGAGATCCACTCGCTTCATGTTTTATTTTTACTCTTTTATGCATCGCACAATGATCATACGTATTAACGGGGTACCACGTGACGTTTCACACATATATATGTTGGGCAGTGTTTAAATCAGGTTACACACTTAACTCCTCAAACATTTATCATTTCTCTTTATGGTAATAACTTCCCAAATCCTTCTGGCTTTTTAAAATATGCAATACAACATTCCTATCCACAGTGGCCACACTATAAAGAAATTTTCTTTCTTTTTGGGGGGAGGTGGGTATTAGGGACGGAACCCGGGCCTCACACCTGCTAGGCCAGCGCTCACCACTGAGCCACACCCCCAGCAAGTGGATCTACTCACATGTTCACGTTGGTAGCCACTTGGGGACCGTTCGTGGTTTTGTGGTCATGTCTGAAACAAACCCAGGCGTTAGCTCCATGTGCATGTCTGTTCCAGAGACACTGAAAATCCTTGGAGGTGAACTTCCAAAAGGGAGCTGCGTCGAGGGTATCACTCCCGAGTGGTGTCCCTCAACTTCTAGCTGCAGCCCCCTCATCATTCCCCAAAGTCACAGAGACCTTAAATATTCAAAATCACTGGGTGCCCGGTGGTCAGCCTGGGAAGCCAAAGAGTAATGCTGTGTCCCCTTGGACTATGGCCGGCCTGGTGACAGCCAGGACACAAGCCGCATTGCCACATGTTTAAATTAGGACAGTGGTGTTTTGCAGTACCATGTTTCTTCTTCCGTTTCCTTTCATTCACTTGGTGAATAGCAGGTTCGTTTCTGTCATTCAGGAATCTCTATCGCTCATTCCCTCAGCCTCCCTCCACCTTGAGGTATCACCTGTGGCTGATCCCTTAGGGATCTGCCCCGCTTCCCCAGGCAGAGACAAGCCAGTACCTCCAGGTGTTATTGCACGTGCCCTTTTACCTCTTTACACAAACGGCCGCCCTCCCTCCACAGGGGGGTTCTGTCGGTGGGAGGCATCTGGCCCCGAGTCCCATGGCAGCCGTGGGCCTTACTTGCTTTAACCCAGCGCTGGCAGCCAGGCATTTGTGTAACGTCCCCCTGCCACTGTCTTCCCAGTGACAAGCCTGTTTCTGTTTGAGCCGTTCCTGGAGGTGGCCTACTGGTGAGCAGTGGTGTGAGCCGTCATGCACATCCCTCAGGGGGTCGGCCAGCACACACCGCTACCCTGATGGAGTGGGCCAGGTCCCTCAGCCCTGGAGCAAGCCTCACCTGCAGGCCAGGTGTCCCCACACCTGACCACCTGCCGGCCAAGGGTCCCGGGGCCACAAGGCTCACCTTGAAGGGACACTCTTATGAAGCCAGGCCAGGTGCGAATTTCAACTCACTGTTTTATTCACCGTCTTCCGTAGTCTGAGGCTTTAGTGAAAACTGTCGCCCTGCGGGGGCAGAGAGACATGCAAAGCCGTCCCCTGGGCATTGGAAGGCCCTCGGGAATCTTCTAGAACCCGGGAGAGACCAACAGAAAGGAGCCTTCCTTTGAAACTCCGGAAGGCGACTTTAACCCTCCCCAAAGACTGCAGCAGCATCCCCAGAGCGGCAACAGCGACGCCCCACTCCAGTGTGGCCTGCAGCCTGCCCACCTGCTGCCGCGGTCCACGGTCCACCTCCAGATGATGCCAGCGCATGGGTCGAGTGAAAACCGGTCATCTGCAAGGGAAAGGGTGCCCACACTGGGGAAGGAAGAGTCAGCCTGCCTCTCTGGCCCCTGCGGCCCAGACGTGCCAGCCCTGTGCTAGAAGCACGTACCCATGTCCCCCACGCTCTCCACGCCTGTGACCTCATCTGTGTGGCCATTTCCTGGTATTCCACTGTCCATCATGTGGCTTTGCTCCAATGGTGGTTCCATTCCCAGTTTTCTGAGGACTCTCCACAGTGCTTTCCAGAGTCGTTGCACCCTTCTGCAGTCCCACCAGCAACGTAGGAGTGTGTGCCTTTCCCCACATCCTCACCACCATGTTGTGATCTTTAGTGGAACTTCCTTGGGGGAAATCCTCTCTCTCTAAACTAACAGGCACGTGGAATCGCAGAATATCGATAAGAAAAGCCACCATGACTTTGGGATATGCAAAATAATTCAAATTAGGCTATGGGTGCCAACTCACTAACACGGAAATTGCCTGGAATGTTTGTTAGATTTCCCATCCTTGGCTCCCTGACACCCATTCTCAATTTGTTAGGTGAGTTTCTCCCGTAAAAAAAGACAAAGATTGACCTCAGCCAGGCCTCTAAATTAACTGGCACCTGGGTGGCTTACAGGTGGGAATAGCCAGGTGTTCTCCTGCAGAGGGAGGGACATGGGTCCCGACGGGTGGGTGTGCATGATTCCAGCTGGGCTTCTCTTACGGGCAACACCTCACACTTCCTACGCCTGGACACCCACAGGGTGTTTAAACAGGATTGAGATCCCTGGGATCATGAATTTCTACTGGCTGTGTTAAAGACTCAGCCATGACTAATTTTTGAACAGCTTTACTATGCTACAATTTACTTCTGTAAAACTCATTCTAAATGCACAGTTCATTGATTTTAAGTAAACCTGCCTATTGTGCAGCCTCCTTCCCGATCTGATTTTAGAACAGTCTCAACTTCTCACATAGATTCTTCATGTGTTGGACACAGTGGTGCCTGCTTATAATCCCCGTGGCTCAGAAGCCTGAGGCAGGAGGATCTGGAGTTCAAAGCAAGTCTCAGCAATTCAGCAAGTCCTTGAGCAACAGTGTAATACTCTGTCTCTAAATAAAATACAAAATAAAATACAAAAAGGTCTCAGTAGTTAGGCACCCCCAGGTTCAATCCCTGGTACCAAAAAATTATTCTTCATGTCAGCTCAGGGCAGTCTACTCTGCTCTTTCCCTCTTTGGATTTG